TTATGAGTTAAACTTATGCATTAAATAAATTTTTGAGTTAACTAAAATATTTAAGTAAAAATTCATCAAATCACCAATAAAATAATTTAAATTTAAGGTGAGTCAATGACTAGCTTCCAAAGATTGGCTTGTCCATTGTAGTTTTACTACTCAGGGTGCTGAGATAATCCTTGAACCTGAGTAGAGCACCATTAGATTAATGACCTACTACCATCTGTTAAACAATGGCATTTGTTCGTCACCTGCTCTTTATGTGCTGCAAAGATCCAATACATTGGAACCTTCCATTCACCATAATGGCAAGCCTGGTACAGAGGGCTTCACATTCTTCCATGCTAAAAGACAGAGAAGGGTTATATTCAGGGCACAGAAAACTTGGGTTGAAGTTCATGAGCATAAACATAATTGTTTCATTATGGCACTTGGAAATACTATTTTAGTTGCTTTCTTTTCTTTATTTTTTGAGATAGAGTCTTACTCTTGCCCAGGCTAGAGTGCAGTAGCTTCAACATGGCTCACTATAGCCTTGACTTCCTTTGCTCCAATGATCCTCCTGTTTCAGCCTCCTGAGTAGCTGGGACAACAGACGTGCACCACTACATCTGGCTAATATTTTAATTTTAATTTTAATTTTTATTTTTTTTTGTAGAGATGGGGGTCTTGCCATGTTGCTCAGGCCAGTCTTGAACTCCTGGGGTCAAGCAATCCTCCTGCCTTGGCCATCCAAGGTGCTGGGATTACAGGCATGAGCCACCATGCCTGGCCTAGTTTCTTGATTCTCTTTTAGTTTTTAGTTCTCTTAAAGGAGAACAAAAAACAATCTTTTAAAATATAAATTAAATGTCTTCAGATAAGGTTTATTACTGTTTCTTCTAAAACTCAAGGCCATCTCTCTTTCACCGGGAATGGCCCCTCCATCAAACCTAATATTTCTTTCAAGCTTTGATTCGAGACCTACACTTTCTCAGAAATGTTTTCAAAATAACACTAAGTTTTTTTCATTATGCTTCACACCCCATATTCTGGTGGCCTTCCTATTTTTGGATTTATAACTAGTTAGCCTGTACTTGATTATACAGGCTCTAATTTCATGGTCTATTATAATTGGAGGTAATTTTAGGTATTACCCTGTCCACCACATACAACAGTTAATGGAAATTAAATGATTGGCTCCAGTGTGCTGGGGCAAAGCTACGATATAAACAAGTTTCTTGATAATAAGCAAATTGAAGACTTTTCCTACTATATGACAATTATAATACAAACATAAACTTAATATAAATTATAAGACAAGACCATCCTCATAAGAGAAGCACAGATCAAATGATTTAATGTCTCTTATACTTAGCTGATTGGAAGTGTCCGCTTCATGGAGGAGAGGCATGTGAGCTGGTCTGGAAGGACTGGTAAGATTAGAACTTGGAGAGACTTTGTGAAAAGACCATTTCAGGCTGGGCACGGTGGCTCATGCCTGTAATCCCAGCACTTTGGAAGGTTGTGGTGGGTGGATCATTTGAGGTCAGGAGTTTGAGACCAGCTTGGCCAACATGGTGAAACCCCACCTCTACTAAAAATATAAAAATTATCCATGCATGGTGGTCAGTACCTGTAGTCCCAGCTACGTGGGAGGCTGAGGCAGGAGAATCGCTTAAACCTGGGAGGTAGAGATTGCAGTGAGCGGATATTATGCCACTGCACTACAGCCTGGGTGACAGAGGGAGACTCTGTCTTAAAAAAAAAAAAAAAAAAAAGACTATTTCAAGTAGAAAACACAGCCAGAGAAGGGGCCTGGAGATGGGAAGAATACAGAACCAGGAGTCGTTCAGATTGACTGATAGAAGAGGGTATGCAGGGGAAAAGACTGAGAATTTAAGATGAGGCCAGAGAATAGAGGGCCTCACATGTTGAGCCTAAGGATTCTGAACTTTGGCAGGCAATAGGGAGCCATAGATGAATTTAGAGGGCCGTAAGTCATGAGAAATTTGATGTTAAAAAGACTGCATAGACCTTAGACGCTGTCCTACCACAGGAATTGTATTCTCACCACGAAACCTGCCTGAATTGCTTCTATGACTATAAACATAAAATAGTTTGATACAATTGTGGGCATTCATCGTCTACATATATGTTATACAGGATTACCTTTTCCCATCTGTCATCCTAAGATTGTGTGGATTCACTTTAAAGATTCCACTCAGTTTACCTGTGAGACGTGAGGATGACGGAACATTTGTTCTGTACTTCTTCCGAAATGATCTTCCAGAGGTGCCGTTTCGACTTCGGATCCATCCCAGAGCTCGGCTCATCCTTAATAGAAAGTTACAAGAAAAATTTATCAAATTAATTAAATTTTGATGAAGTTCTTTACATGAATCACTTGTGTTTCACTTCCCTAGAACAGAGATCACTTTTTGAGGTCCCGTGACTAACTTGTTTTATACTTAATAGGCTTCTTTCTGCTGCTGTCGAAAAGCTCAAAATTAATCATTTAAAATTGTCAATCTGTTTTAAAAAGTGTCTCCCTGAAGTTGACATCCTGTTACTTTACTTCTGTCTCTTACGTTTCTTTGGAAAAAAAATCCACTTCAATTACTGGCAAAGCAGAGTTTTTACATTTAATTCTACCTTGCCACATATATATAAGCCATATTAACAAGATTACCACTCTGCTTCTAATAGCAGAATTGTGGCTATGAGTGATAATATGCTATGTGAAGCAGAAAGAACATAATTTGATATTTCAGTTAATTTGTTTGAGGTATCTTTTTAGTTTTCTGTTATTAATTGAAATTTAACACTCCTTGGGAAATAAAAACAAGATTTGCAGAAATTGCCAAGTAGAAAGATATACATTATTTTTCAAATTAAATTATGTTATGAAAAATCATTCAGACATAAAATTAGAAAATGTAGCAATGGATAATCTAAACACAATAACAGATTTTGACAGATGGTTAAAAAAACAAATTATAGGTCAAGATTAGGTAAAAATTTAAAAATATACTTGTAACAAAAATATGTACATAACTAGAGGCTTGTTTTCACAGAAAGGTGTTAAATTTGAAAGGAATGGATTATATGGAAGAAGTAAAGAGCAGAATAGTGATTGCTGGAGGCTAGAGGGGTAGCCGGGAAAGGAGGATAGAGATTGGTTAATGAATACAAAATTACAACTAGACAAGAGGAATAAGTTTTAGTGATCTGTAGCACTGTAGGCTGACTATAGTTAACAATAATTTATTGTATATTTTCAAATAATTAGAAGAAAGGATTTTGAATGTTCCCGACACAAGGATAGGACACATGTTTCAGGTGATAGATAAGCTAATTACTCTGATTTGATCATTGCATATTGTATATAGGAATCAAAATATCACACTGTAATTATTATGTGTCAATTAAAATTGTAGTTACATAATTTTTTAAAAATAAAGAAATCAGTGTTAATTTGGCAAAACAAAGAATACATTGTCATTGCTCCTATTTTTGAAGAAGACAGCATATTAAGTAGATGCATACAGAAGAAAACTTGGTATGTTTCATAGTCTATATTTCAGTTTGGTTCATTAATACATAATGTTAATAGAAAACTTTTAACATTTTAAAGTACTTTACATCTGTTATTTCACAGAGGTGCCTAATGATTGTTTTGTTCAATTTAAGGAACATTTACACAATACAATTCCATTATAAGCGTTGATTGGCAGAGATATAATGCATTATAAGCTTTTGGTATTATAGAAAGATGGGCTGTGCATCATTCTATCTGGCAGTTTAAATGACTTGATCCACTCTATGACTTAATCCCTGAAATAATGTGGTGACTTATAACTGCATTATGATTCCTTATAGTTAAGGCTCTTTGAGTTTGGAAGTCCCTGAATGATGGGGATTTTCTAAAATAAGGGCAAGTGTATTTCTCTGAAATAAACACTCTTCCACAAAGTTAGACTTGGGTGCAGAATATTACATCACTACTAGATGTAATTTATATTTCCAGGCGATCAATTAAATTTTCCAGCTCTTAAGAAAAATGTAAATGTGGAATGCATTTCTTCCCCACCCTACCCATCCCCCAGTTCAGATGAAATAATATGATATCCATCACATCCTAAGCTAGACAACTCATATTTTTAAGTAACAAGCAAATAAAATTTTAGCACAACACATTGTCCTAAAATGTGCCTGTCCTCCATAGTAGAAGCTGGAAAATGTGAGTTCACCTGCTGAGTTCCTAATAGAGAGAGATGATTTCTTCTATAGGTGGGAATCAAATTCTACCATGTCCCATAACTTTACTTACTTATATGAGTATCCTGAATTTGTTTCACTTACCATTTCCATGCCAGTGTTTCCTCTGAAACGCACTAAGCCATTGCTTTCAGTTAAAACATTTTGAGGGCATATTGTTATGGTAACTATTTACTGATATAAATTCCTTCATTGAGATAGTACACATAAAGTGCTTTGTATAATAGCTAACACATAGTGAGACCTCAATAAATGTTGACTGCAGTGATGATGATGAAATGTTAATATGCACTGTCAGATATGTTGTTCTAATTATGGAGTCTTCTTTTTAAATAATGATTCTCTTACCAGCAGTAGAATGGAAGGTTTCCCTATCAAGGCCAGGGCAGTGGATAATTTTCTTTTTGTGCCATAACTGCACATAGAGGTAGCTCTGTCCTTGAAGGGCATCAGGTGAAGTCTCCTAAGGAGTTTATGAACAATCTGTGGGCAATAAAAGAGGAGCTAGGTTGACCTTCCTGTGCCAAAACCCTTGAAGCACTAAATGGAAAAAAGATGGTCATGGGAAGAAAATTTTATCATGGAGAATATATCTGGAAAAAATGAAAACACTTAAATTCAACATAGATTTTATTTTTATTTTCAAAGAATCACTTAAGGATTAATAGTTTAAAGAGATTTCTTTAGAGGCTTATTTTCAGATAGGATTCCCTCCCCCACCAAATAGGTACGTGTGTTTACAATTGCAGATTGAGCTTTCTGCTGCATGACCACAAGATTCTCTAGTAAGGCTTAATAGAGCTAAAACAGAATTCACAAGGCAAGGTTCACACCGACTGTTATCACTGCTTCCTCTTTCTTCTTACTGAGGGGTGAGTTGTCACAAAGGCTTTAAGTCTATTTAAAACTGACCCAATATCAAAACTTTAGCACATTAGGAAGCATGAGTTCTTGTAGTTATTTCTGTAGTTAAATAGTCCTGGCAAATAATGAAATCCTAGTTGAACTTAAACAACAGGTCCTCAGGATTGCAAAAGCAGAAGAAACTGCCCTAAGGGTTAGCCATCTCATTAAAATGGCAAACAGTTGCAGGGAGATATAAAGCCACAGATCAGAAACCAAAGTGGAAACTAATCTATTTTACTTGGGCATTTTGCCATTAATGCTATGTGTCAGTGTTAATCCAAACACTAAAAGATGTACAGGCATCACCAACCAATGCTTAGCCCAGAGCCTAATGCAAGTGTGATCCTCTATTTGATATAGTTCTTCAAAGGGTAACTGAACAAACACGGGGCAAGGAGTTTGTAAAGCTAACTTTATAGGTGCATATGTAATACAGAAGACCAAACTAAGAGGGACTCATTGCCTTTGCCACTGCCAGAAGGAAATGACATAGTTTTCCAGTTGGTTTTGTGGGGAATTGTGGGGCAAGGGGGATGACTGCAGAAACAATAATGGTTTCAAATTAACTAGTTTTTCACACTTGTACTCACTTCTTTAATATCCTTTTCTGGAATTCCATGTACCCTGGCATAGAAATACAAATGTTCTTCCACAGTTACCAGGTCATCTAAGGCATCTTCCTGAGGACAGTAGCCAACTAATGAGCTGTGAGAATCAACGTGACCCAGAGATCTGAATTGAGAGAATCAAAAACACAGATGAATTTCAAAAGATTCATCCCTCCTGGTTCCCAAATGCCAGGAAGGTAGCTCTATTTTGGTCATGGTGGTCAGTGACTTTGATAAAAGGGATAAAATAACTCCACTATCAGATTCACACTTAAACGTTTAAACATTTCCACCCACCTTAATAGTTTTTTCTCCTCTAAGGATTGAAAAATATCACCACAAAATAACATAAATGTTCATTTCAATTATTTTTCTCATTAAATTACATTGTACCCAGTACATGGAAGCATTAGCTTTTCATACCCAGTCTTATTTCTGATCAGAATGTTTCCACTTGAAGGAATTATGTCTCCTGTCAGCATCTTGAATATAGTGGTCTTTCCTGCTCCATTCACTCCAAGAAGGCCAAAACACTGGTTTGAGGGAGAAAAAGAAGATGTAAACCTTAGTCCAAACCCATGACATATTGCTTTTGTATCTCTTTCCCTCTTCTCTCTGGGTGAAATAAATTACTGAGAAAAATAAATCACTGGAATTATTCATGGATAGTGTAGTGCTCTTGATAAAACTTTCTCTTCTAAAACAAATGGATAATATGTATCCTTTTTCCTTTAACCATCTAAACATTTATATATATATATATATACACACACACATAGGACCTATTTTACATATTTATGTTATATCATCCCTCTCTGTGACATGATCAAATACCCCACAAATAAGATCTGCTAACCCAACAAAGTAATTATATTTATAGATTTCACATTATTTACACAAAGTCACAACTTTACTGAATAAGCTATTGAGGCAATAGTTTTTTCATATTGTCAAATAAATTTGATGCGTGTAGTTTGCAGCTCTGCTTGGAAAACTAAGTGGCGTAGCCATATTTGCATTCTCTTTCCAATGCTGCCTTACTTAATATTGCTTCTGTGAAAATGGCAAGCATATAAATAAACAGATGCAGTACTAGGACCTCACTTCTGAAAACCGATGTCTTTATGATGTTTTTTGAGGAGGAATGGAAATGAAAGGCTGAATACAGCACCCTGAACGGGCTTCCTGACCAAAATGTACCCCAGAGCAAGTGGACAGTAGGAACGGGCCCAGGACTTGCTGTGGGGTAGGACTTGTTGAATTCCTTCTGCCTACTGGGAAGTCTCATAGGGTAAATAATATTAACTTTTGCACCAACTTCATACCTGGACATGTGTACAATATATATACAGTCAGCCCTTCTTACCCCTGGGTTTCTAATCTTTAGATCTAACCAAGTATGGATTGAAAATATTCAGGGGGAAACAAAGCATCTGTACTGAACATGTACAGACTTCCTGTGTTCTTATTCCCTAAACAATACACTACAACAACTATTTACATAGTATTTACATTGCACTGGGTATTATAAGTAATCTAAAGATGATTTAAAGTGTACAGTGGGATGTGCATAGATTATATGCAATACTACATTATTTTATGTCAGTAACTTGAGCATCTGTGGATTTCTGTGGATTTTGATATCCTTGGAACCAATCTCCCATGGATACAGAGGGATGACTGTATATGTATACACATATACATGTGTATGTATATATATGTGGATGTATGTATATATATATGCATGTGTTTATTTTTTCCCATGGAAATATTCAGATTAACTTTTATATTGCTAGAAAAAACTGTGGGAAAATAATTAAGATTTTTTTCTTTTTTTGAGATGGAATCACTCTGTTGCCTAGCCTGGAGTGCAGTGGTGTGATCTTGGCTCACTGCAGCCTCCACATCCCTGGTTCAAGCAATTCTCCTGCCTCAGCCTCCTGACTAGGCAGAACTACAGATGTGCACCACCACGCCTAGCTAATTTTTGTATTTTTAGTAGAGATGCAGTTTTACCATGTTGGCCAGGCTGATCTCAAACTCCTGACCTCAAGTGATCTGCCCACCTCAGCCTCCCAAAGTTCTGAGACTTACAGGTGTGAGCCACCGTGACCAGGCAATTAAGATTTTAACTTGTCACATAGTATGCCAATGAAAAGGACAGGTAGACAAAACACAGTTTTTTACCTCTCCAGCAGGTATCCCAATGCTGATATTGTTTACAGCTATAATCTTTTTGTGGATAAGTTGGTAGGTCTTTGTGAGACGATAAAGTTGGACCAAGTCAAATTCAGCCGCACCACTCTCAACTCTTAACCTCTCAGCCCGCACATCTTCATCCTCGTCTGTTGTCTCCCTTACAGGTGAAGAATTAAATTTTCTGAGGAAGAGCCTAAAAATGGACCCAGTGGTTTTACATCAGTAATTTTGAAATGACACCACTCAATTCTGACAGGTTTTAATAGGTTTTCATGTCACTAACAGCATACTACTCATCATTAGACATCTTTTACATTTGTAATCAATTATGCTACTCAGATAACATAAGAAATCTGTATAGACTCTCTTTACTGTATTCACTATGATATTTGGGAAACAGCTTTTGTTCTCCCTGCCTTAAATGTTTACAGGTCCACTGTTAAGATTTATAATTCCAATTTCAGTGATAAGGAAGTGAGTATGTGTTTGAAGGTTGATTCCTAAAAGAGGAACTAAGGAACTCCACAGGCATTAGGAAACTCATCACCTACAAAGCTAAGACCAATGATCATCTTTTTAAAAAATCCTCTCAGCTGGGTGCAGTGGCTCACACCAATAATCCCAGCACTTTGGGATGCTCAGGCAGGCAGATCACCTGCAGTCAGGAGTTTGGGACAAGCCAGGCCAACATGGCAAAACTCTATCTCTGCTAAAAATACAAAAATTAGCCAGGCATAGTGGCACATGCCTATAGTCCCAGCTGCTTGGAAGGCTGAGGCAGGAGAATTGCTTGAACCCGGCAGGCAGAGGTTGCAGTGAGCTGAAATCACACTACAGCACCTCAGCCTGGCCAGCAAAGCAAGACTCTGTCTTAAAAAAAACAAAAAAAAATGTTTTTAAATCAAATTTTAAAAGCCTCTCTACTTTTAAAAAAAATTTTAGAAACAGCATAAGATCTGCCCTTTTAACAAAACTTTAAGTGCACAATACAGTATTGTTAACTATAGGCACAATATTATACAGCAGATATATCTACATTTATAATCATCAATACTATGAATATTATTGTTATTTTGTACTTGATTTACTGTTAATGTCTCACGTAGGATCTAGCCAGTATTTTAAGGTTATCAGCCCTGCAAACTCATTAAGTCCCAAACCCACCTCAATATCTTGGCTAACAAATACCAAAAAAAAAAAAAAAAAAGAAAAAAAAAATAATCTAGGCTTTCTTCCCAATGTCCCTGTTTCTTCTGATGAGAACCCCAAAGACCCCAACTGTAATGTTTTGTTCAAATCTTCCTTATTCTAAAATCATATAGCCAGTCTCCAAAGACTGGAAATGACTTTTTCTTTTTTTTTTGAGACAGAGTCTTACTCTGTCACCCAGGCTGGAGTGCAGTGGTGCAATCTTGGCTCACTGCAACCTCTGCTTCCGGGGTTCAAGTGATTCCTGTGCCTCAGCCTCCTGAGTAGCTAGTATTACAGGCATGCACCATCATGCCCAGCTAAGTTTTGTATTTTTAGTAGAGATGGGGGTATCACCATGTTGGCCAGGTTGGTCTCGAACTCCTGACCTCAGGTGAGTGCTGGCCTCCCAAAGTACTGGGATTACAGGCGTGAGCCACCACACCTTATAACACCCTATCATGGATTATTCTCTGCCTAGTCCTATTGCCATTGTAGGATTTTACTTCTCACCTAGGTTTCTCCAGGAGCCTAAAACTGCTTCAGGGTCTCTAACTCTTCCATTTGAATCTGCACTACATCTACAAAATTATACTTCTTCAAGCACAACTTCATCATGTTTCTCTCTGTTTAAAAACTCTTAATCAATGTCCATTTATTTGTTGAATAAAGCCCAAACCATATCTCTTTACCAGGCATTTAAGAGATTCCATAATCTCCCAACTACATTTTAAACTATAACTTCTACTTTTTCATTACATATATTCTAATTCAATTGTAATACTTCTTTCTTAAATATGCTCTATTTCTCTATATCTGCTCTTTGATTTCCACTCATTATTATTATTTACTTAAAATTTTATTTGTCAACAGATGATACACATACATGGCATTAAAATTTAAATGGTACCGAAGAATATACAGTGAAAAGTGGTGATCTTCAACCATATATAACTCTTCTCAGCAGAGGC